TAACCACTCGGCCACCTCGTCACTCTCCAGCATGTGTTGCCCGAAGCTGGGCTGTGGTGTGTTTCTGCCGCTATATTAAGGATGATTTGCTAAATTGGCAGGTAGGGTACATTGAACGGCTTTGCCAGGCACACTTGGCTCTCTGAAACACTAAAGACATCAAACGACGAGGATGGGATTCGAACCCACACGTGCAGAGCACAATGGATTAGCAGTCCATTGCCTTAACCACTCGGCCACCTCGTCACTCTCCAGCATGTGTTGCCCGAAGCTGGGCTGTGGTGTGTTTCTGCCGCTATATTAAGGATGATGTCGCTAAATTTGGCAGGTAGGGTACATTGAACGGCTTTGCCAGGCACACTTGGCTCTCTGAAACACTAAACACATCAAACGACGAGGATGGGATTCGAACCCACGCGTGCAGAGCACAATGGATTAGCAGTCCATCGCCTTAACCACTCGGCCACCTCGTCACTCGACCAAACCTGTTTTCCCGAAGCTGGGCAGTGGTGTGTTTCGGCAGCTATTTTAAGGATGATGTTGTTAAAGTTGGCAGCAAGGTTCTTTGAATGGCTTTGCCAGGCGCACTTTGCTCTCTCGACACATTCAGCTAAAGCTCGCCTTGAGGGGCACCTGTGCGGTTGACGTGTTCACTACATTTTCTCTCTGTTTCTGCAGCTATATTAAGGATGATGTCGCTAAATTTGGCAGGTAGGGTACATTGAACGGCTTTGCCAGGCGCACTTGTCTCTCTCGAAACACTAAACACATCAAACGACGAGGATGGGATTCGAACCCACGCGTGCAGAGCACAATGGATTAGCAGTCCATCGCCTTAACCACTCGGCCACCTCGTCACTCTCCAGCATGTGTTGCCCGAAGCTGGGCTGTGGTGTGTTTCTGCCGCTATATTAAGGATGACTTTGCTAAACATGGCAGGCCGGGTACATTGAACGGCTTTGCCAGGCACACTTGGCTCTCTGAAAACGCTAAAGACATCAAACGACGAGGATGGGATTCAAACCCACGCGTGCAGAGCACAATGGATTAGCAGTCCATCGCCTTAACCACTCGGCCACCTCGTCACTCGACCAGACCTGTTTTCCCGAAGCTGGGCAGTGGTGTGTTTCGGCAGCTATTTTAAGGATGATGTTGTTAAAGTTGGCAGCAAGGTTCTTTGAATGGCTTTGCCAGGCGCACTTTGCTCTCTCGACACATTCAGCTAAAGCTCGCCTTGAGGGGCACCTGTGCGGTTGACGTGTTCACTACATTTTCTCTCTGTTTCTGCAGCTATATTAAGGATGATGTCGCTAAATTTGGCAGGTAGGGTACATTGAACGGCTTTGCCAGGCGCACTTGGCTCTCTGAAAACACTAAAGACATCAAACGACGAGGATGGTATTCAAACCCACGTGTGCACAACACAACATAATAGCAGTCCATCACCTAACCACTCGGCCACCTCGCCACAACCTTTTGGATGTTGGAAGTAGTAATTTGGTGCTTTTCAACCCCATCTCATTAACATGATGGAGATACAGTTCACCATATTGTGTTGGAAATGGTTTGGCTGATGAGAGAGTCAACCCTTCGACTGACCTGCAAGGAGCATTGGGTTCTATGGGTTAGGAGACTCACAACTGTTTTGATAGAGGGAGATCTGCTTATGTTTCATTTGTGTGCTGCTTCTGATTTGTTGGAAAGAACCTAGAGAGAACGCCTGGGTCGAGAAAAAGCAGCATAGCTTGCATTGGACCTCTCTCAGAATATGTTTGCAGTGTGCACTCTTCATTATCCTACCCAACCTCGTAGGGAGCTCGTGGAATCGATCCCGAACTCAAACATATTCTTGGACATTGAGCTTTATAACTCCGCCCCTTTGCTACCAGGATCCACAATTCTCTCCCCCAAAATTAGAAAGCAGCGCATTTTTTGTTCTTTGAGTGAAGAGATAACAATGATAAAACCTTTTTGTGCACATACCTCACCTGTTTCGTAGACACACCATGCAGCCGTCAGTGCCCAAAAGCTTATTACATGGCAGTTTAAAGCTTGATACCACCTGTCTCCATGTCCAGATAAAAGCACGGAAGACGCTGCTCCTTTTGCCGGCATTCTTTCGCAGAGGCAATATCGTAGTCTATGAGGTTTATCCGAGACGTGATCTTTGCTGGTTGAAAACTTTACCAATACCCCGCTGGGATGACTTGAAATATAGTCAGCCTTGGCAATTTTTGACGGTCTCTTAGGAGGCTTTAAGACTTGTTGAAAGAACAGAATTGTGCTTTCGCTCCTTGAAAGTGCTGCATTCACTGTGACGGCGAAGACATGAGCTTGAAGACGGTTGGTGTAGTCAGTATTTGGACCTCCCTTAGAATGTGTTTTTGTTTTTATAAAGGTCATATCCATGCAACAGGGGCTTCTTGTTTTGATCCTGTCCTCGACAATGTTTTCAGAAATGAACAGGTGCTTTTTCTGCAGCTACAATTAAAATGAAATTCAGCTAAAGCTTGCCTTGAGGGGCACCCCTGCAGTTGACCTGTTCGCTAGGCTCTCTGTTTCTGCAGCTATTTTAAGGATGACGTCGTTGAAGTTGGCAGCAAGGTCCTTTGCCAGGCGCACTTGTCGCTCTCGAAACACTAAACACATCAAACGACAAGGATGGGATTCGAACCCACGCGTGCAGAGCACAATGGATTAGCAGTCCATCGCCTTAACCACTCGGCCACCTCGTCACTCGCCTGCATTGTTGCCCGAAGCTGGGCTGTGGTGTGTTTCTGCCGCTATATTAAGGATGACTTTGCTAAACATGGCAGGCCGGGTACATTGAACGGCTTTGCCAGGCACACTTGGCTCTCTGAAAACACTAAAGACATCAAACGACGAGGATGGGATTCGAACCCACGCGTGCAGAGCACAATGGATTAGCAGTCCATCGCCTTAACCACTCGGCCACCTCGTCACTCGACCAAACCTGTTTTCCCGAAGCTGGGCAGTGGTGTGTTTCGGCAGCTATTTTAAGGATGATGTTGTTAAAGTTGGCAGCAAGGTTCTTTGAATGGCTTTGCCAGGCGCACTTTGCACTCTCGACACATTCAGCTAAAGCTCGCCTTGAAGGGCACCTGTGCGGTTGACGTGTTCACTACATTTTCTCTCTGTTTCTGGCAGCTATATTAAGGATGATGTCGCTAAATTTGGCAGGTAGGGTACATTGAACGGCTTTGCCAGGCGCACTTGTCTCTCTCGAAACACTAAACACATCAAACGACGAGGATGGGATTCGAACCCACGCGTGCAGAGCACAATGGATTAGCAGTCCATCGCCTTAACCACTCGGCCACCTCGTCACTCTCCAGCATGCGTTGCCCGAAGCTGGGCTGTGGTGTGTTTCTGCCGCTATATTAAGGATGATGTCGCTAAACATGGCAGGTAGGGTACATTGAACGGCTTTGCCAGGCACACTTGCTCTCTCGAAACACTAAACACATCAAACGACGAGGATGGGATTCGAACCCACGCTGTGCAGAGCACAATGGATTAGCAGTCCATCGCCTTAACCACTCGGCCACCTCGTCACTCTCCAGCATGTGTTGCCCGAAGCTGGGCTGTGGTGTGTTTCTGCCGCTATATTAAGGATGATGTCGCTAAATTTGGCAGGTAGGGTACATTGAACGGCTTTGCCAGGCGCACTTGTCTCTCTCGAAACACTAAACACATCAAACGACGAGGATGGGATTCGAACCCACGCGTGCAGAGCACAATGGATTAGCAGTCCATCGCCTTAACCACTCGGCCACCTCGTCACTCTCCTGCATGTGTTGCCCGAAGCTGGGCTGTGGTGTGTTTCTGCCGCTATATTAAGGATGACTTTGCTAAATATGGCAGGCCGGGTACATTGAACGGCTTTGCCAGGCACACTTGGCTCTCTGAAAACGCTAAAGACATCAAACGACGAGGATGGGATTCGAACCCACGCGTGCAGAGCACAATGGATTAGCAGTCCATCGCCTTAACCACTCGGCCACCTCGTCACTCGACCAAACCTGTTTTCCCGAAGCTGGGCAGTGGTGTGTTTCGGCAGCTATTTTAAGGATGATGTTGTTAAAGTTGGCAGCAAGGTTCTTTGAATGGCTTTGCCAGGCGCACTTTGCTCTCTCGACACATTCAGCTAAAGCTCGCCTTGAGGGGCACCTGTGCGGTTGACGTGTTCACTACATTTTCTCTCTGTTTCTGCAGCTATATTAAGGATGATGTCGCTAAATTTGGCAGGTAGGGTACATTGAACGGCTTTGCCAGGCGCACTCGTCTCTCTCGAAACACTAAACACATCAAACGACGAGGATGGGATTCGAACCCACGCGTGCAGAGCACAATGGATTACCAGTACATCGCCTAACTCAATCGGCAACCTCGTCACTCTCCAGCATGTGTTGCCCGAAGCTGGGCTGTGGTGTGTTTCTGCCGCTATATTAAGGATGACTTTGCTAAACATGGCAGGCCGGGTACATTGAACGGCTTTGCCAGGCACACTTCGCTCTCTGAAAACGCTAAAGACATCAAACGACGAGGATGGGATTCGAACCCACGTGTGCAGAGCACAATGGATTAGCAGTACATCGCCTTAATCACTCGGCCACCTCGTCACTCTCCTGCATGTGTTGCCCGAAGCTGGGCTGTGGTGTGTTTCTGCCGCTATATTAAGGATGACTTTGCTAAACATGGCAGGCCGGGTACATTGAACGGCTTTGCCAGGCACACTTGGCTCTCTGAAAACGCTAAAGACATCAAACGACGAGGATGGGATTCGAACCCACGCGTGCAGAGCACAATGGATTAGCAGTCCATCGCCTTAACCACTCGGCCACCTCGTCACTCGACCACACCTGTTTTCCCGAAGCTGGGCAGTGGTGTGTTTCGGCAGCTATTTTAAGGATGAGTTGTTAAAGTTGGCAGCAAGGTTCTTTGAAAAGCACGGAGAAGACGCTGCTCCTTTTGCCGGCATTCTTTCGCAGAGGCATATATCGTAGTCTATGAGGTTTATCCGAGACGTGATCTTTGCTGGTTGAAAACTTTCCCAATACCCCGCGGCTGGATGACTTGAAATATAGTCAGCCTTGGCAATTTTTGACGGTCTCTTAGGAGCAGCTTTAAGACTTGTTGAAAGACAGAATTGTGCTTTCCTCCTTGAAGTGCTGCATTCACTGTGACGGCGAAGACATGAGCTTGAAGACGGTTGGTGTAGTCAGTAATTTGGACCTCCCTTAGAATGTGTTTTTTGTTTTTATAAAGGTCATATCCATGCAACAGGGGCCTTCTTGTTTTGATCCTGTCCTCGACAATGTTTTCAGAAATGAACAGGTGCTTTTTCTGCGCTACATTAAAATGAAATTCAGCTAAAGCTTGCCTTGAGGGGCACCCCCTGCAATTGATGTTCGCTAGGCTCTCTGTTTCTGCAGCTATTTTAAGGATGACGTCGTTAAAGTTGGCAGCAAGGTCCTTTGCCAGGCGCTGTCACTCCTGCATGTGTTGCCGAAGCTGGGCTGTGGTGTGTTTCTGCCGCTATATTAAGGATGACTTTGCTAAACATGGCAGGCCGGGTACATTGAACGGCTTTGCCAGGCACACTTGCTCTCTGAAACGCTAAAGACATCAAACGACGAGGATGGATTCGAACCACGCGTGCAGAGCACAATGGATTAGCAGTCCATCGCCTTAACCACTCGGCCACCTCGTCACTCTCTGCATGTGTTGCCGAAGCTGGGCTGTGGTGTGTTTCTGCCGCTATATTAAGGATGACTTTGCTAAACATGGCAGGCCGGGTACATTGAACGGCTTTGCCAGGCACACTTGGCTCTCTGAAAACGCTAAAGACATCAAACGACGAGGATGGGATTCGAACCCGCGTGCAGAGCACAATGGATTAGCAGTCCATCGCCTTAACCACTCGGCCACCTCGTCACTCGACCAGACCTGTTTTCCCGAAGCTGGGCAGTGGTGTGTTTCGGCAGCTATTTTAAGGATGATGTTGTTAAAGTTGGCAGCAAGGTTCTTTGAATGGCTTTGCCAGGCGCACTTTGCTCTCTCGACACATTAGCTAAAGCTCGCCTTGAGGGGCACCTGTGCGGTTGACGTGTTCACTACATTTTCTCTCTGTTTCTGCAGCTATATTAAGGATGATGTCGCTAAATTTGGCAGGTAGGGTACATTGAACGGCTTTGCCAGGCGCACTCGTCTCTCTCGAAACACTAAACACATCAAACGACGAGGATGGGATTCGAACCCACGCGTGCAGAGCACAATGGATTAGCAGTCCATCGCCTTAACCACTCGGCCACCTCGTCACTCTCCAGCATGTGTTGCCCGAAGCTGGGCTGTGGTGTGTTTCTGCCGCTATATTAAGGATGACTTTGCTAAACATGGCAGGCCGGGTACATTGAACGGCTTTGCCAGGCACACTTCGCTCTCTGAAAACGCTAAAGACATCAAACGACGAGGATGGGATTCGAACCCACGCGTGCAGAGCACAATGGATTAGCAGTACATCGCCTTAACCACTCGGCCACCTCGTCACTCTCCTGCATGTGTTGCCCGAAGCTGGGCTGTGGTGTGTTTCTGCCGCTATATTAAGGATGACTTTGCTAAACATGGCAGGCCGGGTACATTGAACGGCTTTGCCAGGCACACTTGGCTCTCTGAAAACGCTAAAGACATCAAACGACGAGGATGGGATTCGAACCCACGCGTGCAGAGCACAATGGATTAGCAGTCCATCGCCTTAACCACTCGGCCACCTCGTCACTCGACCAGACCTGTTTTCCCGAAGCTGGGCAGTGGTGTGTTTCGGCAGCTATTTTAAGGATGATGTTGTTAAAGTTGGCAGCAAGGTTCTTTGAATGGCTTTGCCAGGCGCACTTTGCTCTCTCGACACATTCAGCTAAAGCTCGCCTTGAGGGGCACCTGTGCGGTTGACGTGTTCACTACATTTTCTCTCTGTTTCTGCAGCTATATTAAGGATGATGTCGCTAAATTTGGCAGGTAGGGTACATTGAACGGCTTTGCCAGGCGCACTTGGCTCTCTGAAAACACTAAAGACATCAAACGACGAGGATGGTATTCAAACCCACGTGTGCACAACACAACATAATAGCAGTCCATCACCTAACCACTCAGCCACCTCGCCACAACCTTTTGGATGTTGGAAGTAGTAATTTGGTGCTTTTCAACCCCATCTCATTAACATGATGGAGATACAGTTCACCATATTGTGTTGGAAATGGTTTGGCTGATGAGAGAGGTAACCCTTCGACTGACCTGCAAGGAGCATTGGGTTCTATGGGTTAGGAGACTCACAACTGTTTTGATAGAGGGAGATCTGCTTATGTTTCATTTGTGTGCTGCTTCTGATTTGTTGGAAAGAACCTAGAGAGAACGCCTGGGTCGAGAAAAAGGCAGCATAGCTTGCATTGGACCTCTCTCCGAATATGTTTGCAGTGTGCACTCTTCATTATCCTACCCAACCTCGTAGGGAGCTCGTGGAATCGATCCCGAACTCAAACATATTCTTGGACATTGAGCTTTATAACTCCGCCCCTTTGCTACCAGGATCCACAATTCTCTCCCCCCAAAATTAGAAAGCAGCGCATTTTTTGTTCTTTGAGTGAAGAGATAACAATGATAAAACCTTTTTGTGCACATACCTCACCTGTTTCGTAGACACACCATGCAGCCGTCAGTGCCCAAAAGCTTATTACATGGCAGTTTAAAGCTTGATACCACCCTGTCGTTCCATGTCCAGATAAAAGCACAGAAGACGCTGCTCCTTTTGCCGGCATTCTTTCGCAGAGGCAATATCGTAGTCTATGAGGTTTATCCGAGACGTGATCTTTGCTGGTTGAAAACTTTACCCAATACCCCGCTGGGATGACTTGAAATATAGTCAGCCTTGGCAATTTTTGACGGTCTCTTAGGAGGCTTTGAGACTTGTTGAAAGAACAGAATTGTGCTTTCGCTCCTTGAAAGTGCTGCATTCACTGTGACGGCGAAGACATGAGCTTGAAGACGGTTGGTGTAGTCAGTATTTGGACCTCCCTTAGAATGTGTTTTTGTTTTTATAAAGGTCATATCCATGCAACAGGGGCCTTCTTGTTTTGATCCTGTCCTCGACAATGTTTTCAGAAATGAACAGGTGCTTTTTCTGCAGCTACAATTAAAATGAAATTCAGCTAAAGCTTGCCTTGAGGGGCACCCCTGCAGTTGACCTGTTCGCTAGGCTCTCTGTTTCTGCAGCTATTTTAAGGATGACGTCGTTGAAGTTGGCAGCAAGGTCCTTTGCCAGGCGCACTTGTCTCTCTCGAAACACTAAACACATCAAACAACAAGGATGGGATTCGAACCCACGCGTGCAGAGCACAATGGATTAGCAGTCCATCGCCTTAACCACTCGGCCACCTCGTCACTCGCCTGCATGTGTTGCCCGAAGCTGGGCTGTGGTGTGTTTCTGCCGCTATATTAAGGATGACTTTGCTAAACATGGCAGGCCGGGTACATTGAACGGCTTTGCCAGGCACACTTGGCTCTCTGAAAACACTAAAGACATCAAACGACGAGGATGGGATTCGAACCCACGCATGCAGAGCACAATGGATTAGCAGTCCATCGCCTTAACCACTCGGCCACCTCGTCACTCGACCAAACCTGTTTTCCCGAAGCTGGGCAGTGGTGTGTTTCGGCAGCTATTTTAAGGATGATGTTGTTAAAGTTGGCAGCAAGGTTCTTTGAATGGCTTTGCCAGGCGCACTTTGCACTCTCGACACATTCAGCTAAAGCTCGCCTTGAAGGGCACCTGTGCGGTTGACGTGTTCACTACATTTTCTCTCTGTTTCTGGCAGCTATATTAAGGATGATGTCGCTAAATTTGGCAGGTAGGGTACATTGAACGGCTTTGCCAGGCGCACTTGTCTCTCTCGAAACACTAAACACATCAAACGACGAGGATGGGATTCGAACCCACGCGTGCAGAGCACAATGGATTAGCAGTCCATCGCCTTAACCACTCGGCCACCTCGTCACTCTCCAGCATGTGTTGCCCGAAGCTGGGCTGTGGTGTGTTTCTGCCGCTATATTAAGGATGACTTTGCTAAATTTGGCAGGTAGGGTACATTGAACGGCTTTGCCAGGCACACTTGTCTCTCTCGAAACACTAAACACATCAAACGACGAGGATGGGATTCGAACCCACGCGTGCAGAGCACAATGGATTAGCAGTCCATCGCCTTAACCACTCGGCCACCTCGTCACTCTCCAGCATGTGTTGCCCGAAGCTGGGCTGTGGTGTGTTTTCTGCCGCTATATTAAGGATGATGTTGCTAAATTTGGCAGGTAGGGTACATTGAACGGCTTTGCCAGGCACACTTGTCTCTCTCGAAACACTAAACACATCAAACGACGAGGATGGGATTCGAACCCACGCGTGCAGAGCACAATGGATTAGCAGTCCATCGCCTTAACCACTCGGCCACCTCGTCACTCTCTGCATGTGTTGCCCGAAGCTGGGCTGTGGTGTGTTTCTGCCGCTATATTAGGATGACTTGCTAAATATGGCAGGCGGGTACATTGAACGGCTTTGCCAGGCACACTTGGCTCTCTGAAAACGCTAAAGACATCAAACGACGAGGATGGGATTCGAACCCACGCGTGCAGAGCACAATGGATTAGCAGTCCATCGCCTTAACCACTCGGCCACCTCGTCACTCGACCAAACCTGTTTTCCCGAAGCTGGGCAGTGGTGTGTTTCGGCAGCTATTTTAAGGATGATGTTGTTAAAGTTGGCAGCAAGGTTCTTTGAATGGCTTTGCCAGGCGCACTTTGCTCTCTCGACACATTCAGCTAAAGCTCGCCTTGAGGGGCACCTGTGCGGTTGACGTGTTCACTACATTTTCTCTCTGTTTCTGCAGCTATATTAAGGATGAGTCGCTAAATTTGGCAGGTAGGGTACATTGAACGGCTTTGCCAGGCGCACTCGTCTCTCTCGAAACACTAAACACATCAAACGACGAGGATGGGATTCGAACCCACGCGTGCAGAGCACAATGGATTAGCAGTCCATCGCCTTAACCACTCGGCCACCTCGTCACTCTCCAGCAT